GAGATTTGTTTGACCGTCTTGTCTATCCTGTCCCTATTTAATACCTCAATTACCATAATGTTGCACCTACGTCCTAGCGCAGTCTACACAAGACGGTCAAACAAATCTCAAACGATGAGGGATCTATAAAACCGAATGGAATAGTTGGCAATGACGTTTGTGGGAACAATAAATTGATAGGTTGAAACCCCTAAACCAACCAAAAGTAAAGATCGCAGTTGTGTAGTTTCATCATTGAAAATTATGCACAAAATTGTTCTTCAACTGCTGCCAAAATCCCAATCAAACAGAAGATACATCCTTAACAAGTTTGCATTTGGTACAACAAATGGCATACATTTGATATTGAGCAATCATACCTTAGCAACTAAGGTTTACCCCCTTAGAACGAAATCTTGCCTATTTCAAGCACACTCCATAACATCACAAAGCTTCAAAATTTTCATCATTGTATAACTATGTGAATCTGTTCTAATAGAAGTCTCCAACATTGTAATAAAAATTCTATATACAACAATTAGCACACTGCTCATATTTCCGCAGTATACAAGTATAACAAGGAAAATGGAAGAGATAAATACAGCAAAACGCTATTGATACTAAACTGTAATTCCATCAAAAAAGAAAACTCATTTCTTCATCAATCGCTCTGATAATTTAGTCTCTTCCTCTTTAGAAACATGAGGATTAAGCTTACGGAGGTTGTTAATAAAAGCTAGAGCTTCATCTCTTCTATTGAGTTTACAATATGAATCTATAATGGAGTTATATGTGCTATCATTTGGCTTACAACCTTGCTTGATCATGTAACGAACCACTTCAATGGCATCAATAAACATTGCATCAGCTGCGTACCTTGAAACAAAGGTATTATATGTGATCACATCAGGAACAATTCCAGAATCCTTCATTTCTGTAAATATTCGTGAGGCATCTCTCATCCGACCGTTTCTGCAATAAGCATATATCACTGTGTTGTACGAAATAACATCAGGCCTGACTCCTTTTCCTATAATTTCCATTAGTAGCTGTTCTGATTTCTCATAATTGCTGGACCGGCTGTACATGTACATCAAACTATTGTAAGTTGTCAAGCTAGGAGTGAAACCACTATCTTTCATGAAGTTCATGATCTCAGCTGCCTTTGTAACCATTTGCTTCCGACCATAAATTGAAAGCATGGCATTTAAGGTGGTTATGTCTGGCGAGAAACCTCTACTTTTTAACTCCAAAAAAGCTCGTTCAGTCTCCACTAGAAGATCACTTTTGCTATAAACTAATACAAGGGTCTTCAGAAGCATAGCATGAGGTTGGATTTCAGAAGTGTATATATCTTCTGCAAGAGCATGAATCCTGTCAATCTCTTTCCCATTACCATACGCATGAAGCAAGGAACTGTACGTTAGCTCGTTGGGTTTACAACGACCATCTTTCATTTCTGCAAGTACCTTTTCAGACTGTTCCCACAGCCCGCCCCGAGCCAAAGCTGCTAGAACAGCGTTATAGGTGGAGAGGTCCGGATTGACCCCTGCATCTAACATTCGCCTGTAAACGACCATAGCTTGATCAAAAGCCCCACAACGACTGTAAGCACCAATTAAGGTATTGAAGGTGTCCCGCTCAGCTACAAATCCGGCTCTCTTCATTTCTTTGAACACTCCAGTAACTTCTGAATCCATTCCGTTCTGCCCAAATACAGCTAGGAGCGTATTCCAAGTGACAATATCTGGGGAACAACCACTCGTCTTGATATCATCAAAAACCTTCATCATTTCAGCAAATTTTCCCCTGTTTCCGTACATCTTAATAAGTGCATTGAAAGTGCAGATGTTTGGTTTACAACCTGCACTTGTCATCTCCTCAAATATTCTCATTGCCGATTCATCCTTCCCAGCCTTCTCAAATCCGGAAAACAAGGTGGTATACGTAAACACATCAGGCTTAATCCCTTTATGTGTCATCTGGGCTTTCAGCTCCATCGCTTCCTCCAACAGACCATCCCTAGCATAAGCAGATACCAACGAATTGTACGTCACAATGCTAGGCAAAAACCCATTAACCTCCATGTCTCGCAAAACCTCCATAGCTTCTTTCGGCCTCCTAGACCTCCCATACACATCTAGCAACGCGTTGTACGTAACCTTATCAGGCAAAAAACCTCCTAATTTCATCTCCTCAAAAATCTGCCTAGCTTCCTCATACAAAGATCCCCGACGACAACAAGTAATAAGAGTATTATAAGTATAAGCATCAGGAACAACTCCAGAGCTCTTCATACGTTCAAAAACACCCATAATTCTACTCCAAGGCATACCCATTTTCCCATAAACATTCAAAATCACATTGTAAGTAATTAAAGTAGGTTTACACCCATCCTCCTCCATTTTCTTGTAAACATTAACCGCATCCCTATACCTCCCATTACGCGCGAATGCAGTGATTAAAGAAGTATATGCATAAACATCGATACCAAAACCATCTTTATGCAAATTGTGAAGCAATGATGACGCCACTGAAATCCTACCCTCTTTCCCAAGCATGCTTATAACCACAGCAATAACAGACCCATTTAACAAAACCCCAGAATCGGGTCGATTTCGAACCCATTCAAACACATTCAATGCCAAGTCACATTTTTTATAGTAACCTAAACCTTTAATAATACCCAAGATATCAAAAGGCAAAGACTCTGTATCTAATTCAGAACTTTCTAAACGATGGTCAGTATATAAACTGAGCAAAATTTGGTTAATATTGTGGAGTTGAAATTCCGGGTCAATTAGGGTTTGAAGAGTTTTCTCACCTTGAGAGGAGAGGCGATGAGGAGACCATGGTTTGCCCCTGTTGGAATCATGTTCTTTGCCAATAATACGCCGTCGAGTTCTGGGGATAGGAGAAGGGTAAATTGGGGATTGAGGAATCTGGGGAGAATTAGAAGTGGAAGTTGAAGTAGGAGAAGTATTGGGATTTTGGTGGTGAAAGAGGTCATTTAGGAATGGAGCTAAAGGTTGAGTGGTGGAGTTAGAGAAGTGGGGGTGTGGGTATTGGAAGATAGATTTAGAGGGGGGAGGGTTTGGTAGTAGAAGAGGGAGAGCTAATTTGTCCGCCATGAAACACAATTCAGTGCTCAAACAATAGCAATAGTACTACCAATATCTTGTTTGTATTTTGGAGGCAGATTGATACCTCACTAGACTTTCCATGGTGACCAGTTATTGTGTGTTCCTCACATATTTTCTTATTTATTTAAATTAACACTTATTTGTAATAATCAATCATTTTCTGTGTTTTCTTCCCTACTTTTTCCACTTATGTATTTATTCTTTTTTTTTACAGTTTCATTGGTGGAAGGTTGAAAGGGCAAAAATGTATCCTTACTATACAACAAAAAACTTGCAATAAAATAGTAAAATGTATCCTTCCTGTACAGCGAAAAATTAACAGTATAGCTTCTTAGATTAATTTGCCTAGTAGGGTGTTAAATTTATAGAAACAAGAAACTCCCAGAAAAATACAGAAAAAACAAAAAGAAGCAAAAGGCGGGCCTTTTCTTTTACCTTTTTATTTTTTATTTTTTTGGAAAAGGGCCAAATATACTCATCTAATTTCATATATTGTCTATATTTAACCTCTGTTATATTATTGGTTTAAATTTACCCATACCGTTATACTATCGGGCCAAATTTACCCCTACAATTAACAAATTTTTAAAAATACACCTTGATCTGTTAAATAATCCAAAATCTCCCAAATTCTTTTTATTTAAATCACTTGTTGTTCTTCTTGCTCCATTATTTTCAAAAATTACTATTGACGTGAATGCTAAAGTTACTACACTATACAAATTATTTATAATTTTTTTTTAATTACCGATGCACCCATTTCTCTTCTTGTAATAAATAAAACTAGTTTAGAATTTTATTTATTTTTCAATCATATATACACCGTAGAATTTAGTGGGTCTATTTATTGTGTATTATATGCAGCTAATCATCATATATGTATGTGTATATTCAAATATATTTTGTCATTGCCTGGTTAGTATAGAGTTCGATCGACTAACTTAAGAGTGCATAATATGTAGGCATTTAATTAAAGCAAAGTTGAATTAGACAATGTAAAGTCTCCGGAAAATTTTAACTTTAATTACTAATACTTGCAAAGTCTCGATACATTTGGTGCAACAAATTCATTAAAATTGGGATGTTGTAAATACTTTTAAAATTTAGAAAAACTACTTAATTTAGATTTTTCAATTTACTATAATTTGTTTATTCTGTTGTATTATTTAATATTTTTTTCTCTTTTTTTTTCTAATTCAGAAAGCAGGTAAATGTCAATTATTTCAAAAATAGTGGACCAAGAAGAATAACAAGTGATTTAAATAAAAAGATTTTGAGAGATTTTGGATTATTTAACAGATCAAATGGTATTTTTAAAAATTTGCTGATTGTAAGGGTAAATTTGACCCGATAGTATAATAGTAGGGATAAATTTGGCCCGATAATATAATAAAAATTAAATATAAATAATATATAAAAGTAGATAGATATATTTGGCCTTTTTCCCTTTCTTTTTTCTTTGACGGGCAAATGGCAGCATCGTGGATAAGTAAGCAATTTGATCAAAGTTCAAAAACACGGTCCAGAGTGATGGCTAAGTGCCAATGTTATACGTTCAGAAAGCAGCTGCACTAAGAGCATCTCCCACTCTCCCCCATTTCTCCAAAAATACATTCATTTTTTGTCAAAATATGATTTCAATGCTCCCTATTTTTTGCTGCAAAATGGAGATAAATAGTGTTATTCCAAAAAAAGGAGTGACATTATCTCCTCCGTTACTATTTATCCTTACTTTATTATTATTTTTATTATTTAACTTTTTAAATTTATCTTTTTATATATACTTAATTATATTTATGTAATATCTTTATAATATTAATTTTACATCTTAACTTTGGCGTATAATATTGATAAATTAATTTTCGTGCATTTATTATTTTTATGTAAAATTGTAAGTTAATTTTATTATAAGTTATAATTGTACAAAAAATATATAATCATCTCAAAAAATAAATGGTGCAAATATAAAATATTAGATGTTGCTAAAATTAAAAAGTAAAAATTAAAAATACATTAATGGTCGAGGATGAGCGTGATCTTAATGCACTAATTCAAGATGATTGGGAATGTCCACCTCCAACGGTAAAAATAGTAGTAGATGAAAATCACCGATTTGAATAATTTTTAGCTCGACACAAAAGAATTAAGGATAAAGATGCTCATTTTGCACTTCGTAATGCATTAATAGATCATTTATGGCAGCATACTAGAGGTGAAAATTGAATATTTATGTAATATTTAATAAGAATTTTACCATAATGTAATATGTATTTAATTATCTTGTATCTCAATGATTTCACTTTTATTTGAATTATCCGTTAATATATATTTACAAATAATATTTGCTTAATAGGAGGACACATGGAATAAGTAAATCCTGGATCAAATAGAACTTTAGCATCTCTATGGAAAACTGGAACAATACCTGTGATCACGACATTAGATGACTCGGCCTCAGGCTTAGTTAGAAAAGCATAAAATTGGGGCTGGGCCCCACCACTCTGAACCGCATCCTTGGGAGGGCCTCTAACTAGCTGGCCTCCACCTCTAACGACCTGACCTCCACCTCTAGCTGTCTGACCCTTGCCCCTAGCTGGCCGGGCGGGTGGCGGAATAGCTGGTGCTGGAATCATAGCACAAGAACCCTGCTGCTGCATGCTGACCTAAGACCTGGGGCAAAATCTAGCAATGTGCCTCAGATCACCACAAGTATAACAGGATCTCGGCTGTTGTGACTGCTGACCCTGGAACTGGCCATGTCGACCTGGATAACCACTCTGATGACTCCGAATCGGAGGTACACTAATATGAGCTGGTGGTGCACTGTAAGCTAGCTGGTCGGAATCTGACATATGAGGGTCGCGACCACCTGAAGCACTGTGGGATGCTTGATTATATTATTTAAAAATTTATGGTATAAAATAATTTTATATTAAATTATATGTGATGAATATGTAAAAAGAAAAAAGATAGAATTTATTTAATAAAAATAAGAAAATAAAATTTAAATAAAAGATAATATTATAATATTGAAGAGAGAGAAGAATATAAAATGAAATATTTTTTTTTAAAATAAAAAATTGAGTAATGATTGGAGTAATTTTACTCCATTTTGAAGGAGAAAATGGTGGCAAGAGATGCCCCAAAGTCCTGATTCTGAGTGCTAATTTAAAATTTTATAACGGAAGCCTCTTCTAAGCCTTTTGTTTTTGTTAAGAGATGGCAGGACCCAATGAGATTAGACATGCAATATAATGCAATACACAAATCTTCAATTATTGGTTAACGAATATTTAACCTTTGAGGAACAAAATAAACAAAAGAAAGACGGAATCTGAACAAACCTTCGATTTGAATATTCCGGTTTTAATAATGGGTTTTTTTTCACATATACGTTATTCGAAACCTTATTACGAAAAATGTTCATATTTTGGTATTTAATCGACCTAAACACGTTTTAGTTACAAAATATATACAATCCACCTTAAAAAGGTCTCAATTCATTATTTGTGTCTTCAATCAAGGGATTTTGTTACACCCTTTTCCTTTTTTTTATGTTTTTTCTTTCCTTATTTTTCTTCCCCTTAATATACGGTAATCTTCCTATACAAAAATCAATAATTACCATCTTTTCAATGTCAACATCTTTTTTTTTTTTGGCAAAAATGTCTAAAATGTCACTAATTCCAGAATCTGCATGGAACATAAATCGGGAACTTTTAGTCACAAGTCTTCGTTCTTGAAAACAAAAATACATTGCAAACATAAAAGGTAGTGAATTAACTAATTGGGTTATTTAATATCAACCAAGGATACATGTTTCATTTCTTCTTCTCACCACCTCCCGTGGCCCTCATCTTATGGAGAACACTAATCGGGATAAAATATCGAATCAGACTATAATATCAATTACCAAATATCTAGCGCCTCAATTTCACACTTAAAATTAGTTTGTTCACATCTTCATAATTTTTTCTATAAATAAACAAGCCAAAAATCAGTACTAATACACCCTTTTAAAGTTCACAAACGAAATTTCAATTTTATAAGAAAATAGATGAAAATGGCTTCAAATTCAGCCACTTCTCTGTTCTTGATACTATTCCTTATTACATAAATATAATTTTTATACAAATTTTATAAAATATGTCTTTTGTATATTTTGTATCTGATTTATAAATAGTAAAAATAAATTTTATACAACTAATTATATATTATATAACTTATCTACACTTTCATATATTATTTCTACCCAGTTATATACAACTACAATATCATACAACTTAAATACAATTTTTATACAAATTTTATACAATATGTCTTTTTTATATTTTGTATTTGATTTATACATAGTAAAAACAAATTTCATACAACTAATTATATATTATACAACTTATCTACAACTTTCATACATTATTTTTACTCAGTTATATACAACTACAATATCATACAACTTAAATATAATTTTTATACAATATTGTTCAACTTTCATACAATATTTAAATAAAAAAATATATATAAACAACATAATACAATTTTTCTACAATTTTACTACAACTTTATTACAATTCCGTAAGTATAATGTATTTCATGTCTTCTTCTTCTTCTTCTTCTTCTTCGAGTTTCAATATGAAATTCAGCCAAAATCAAGTCTAATCTTCACCAAAACACCCTCAAAATTGAGATATAAATTCCAAACAATATTCCCAATTGTTTGCAACAACACCCAATCCAAACAAATAATGATTTTTGAAAATCCAAATTCTAATTCAAAGCTTTTTAATGGCTGTCAATAGTGGAATTGCTGCTCTCTTACTGGAATTAGGGCTGATCTTCGAAAGTGTTTTCTTCTTCATAGAAAGTTAAGCAAGCAACAGACGTTAATGGAGGTGTGTGGTAGAGTATTTAGAGCTTGAATCTATAAAAATGGAGAGGGATTTTTGGAGTAGAGTGAAAAAATATAGAGGATTTTTGAAGAAGAGTGAAAATAGACATTAATGGAGGGAGATACTGAAGATACGTGGGGGTGGGGGGTGGAGAGAGAGAAACGTGGGGGAAGTGGGATATAGACGTCAGACGTTAGAGCGATTTTAG